TATATACATATGCTTTCTTATCCTTTACTTCATACATAAGCACACCTTCAAAATATTTATCTAATGTTGGAAAAAAATATACCATTTTTCCTTTAAGGTTAGGCTTAGTACGTACAAGTTCTTGTAATGCTTCTGCTTTTTTTTGCTGCTTTGGTATTGGCAAATCAATACTATTCTCGTTTATATTAATTGCGCGTTTTTTTTGAAACTTTTTAATAAAAAATGTTAATATTATTTAAAAAATATAAAAGTTGTGCTTTTCTAACCTTTAATGCCTACCATTTTCAAGTTGTAGCGAAATTTTCTATGTATTTTAGATGTATTAAACCGCCGATCAAGTTTTTTAAAGTAAATAAACACGAAACTTTGACAAAAAATTATATTTTCAGATAGTTTCGCGTTTCTTTATTACCGATCAATTATTTTTTTTCATGGATTATAATGATTATCAATTGATTTTTCATCTTAAACATGGGGTACGATCATATTTTAATAAGGTTACTTATAAAATTACATATGGCGACAGTTCTGGTTATTATTGATCAGTCTGTGTAACCTATGAGTTGGCCCCCCCCGTTTATTTATCTAACCCCTAGATATAGCGGGCCACAGTACCTCGGGTATCTTGCAAAAATCGGGGTTTGACCCTGTACCCCAGGTACTAAACAAAACCTAAAAATTCTGTTTTTTGCAAATATCTCACGATCTACCAGTCCAATTTGAATGATCTTTTTTTATTTTGAAAAGCTCAATGAGAGCTATCAAACAAAAAAAAGATGGATCAAATCTGATTACTAAATCACGAGATAATTGTAAAATATCCTCCCAGGTACTATATAATTCTATGAAATTTTTCAAGGGGGGTACTATGCATAGGGGGGTACTATGGCCCGCGATATACGGTATCTAGAGCCATATGAAGTGCCTCTTGGCCCTTTCTTATCTTTATATATGCATTCAGCTTTATTACCGAGAAAAAGATTTGCCAAAATATTAGTCTTATCTAATCCACTTTTTCCAGTGACTAGTATTAAGAAAGGCCATGATGGACTTGCAGAATGTGATTGAATTTGGGATGATTTGTGCCTTGTAGCCTTATCCATATCCATAAGGTAAAGTTTCATAGGAGGTAGTCCTGTCTTTTAGTTCTTCTTTGTATTAGATCAGGAATCCATAACCTTGATTTCTATTTAAGGGTATTTTATAGTTCGGAATATTTTTTGTTTGCTTTTCGCAAACTGAATATAGATGAAAGAATACACACCTTAAGATGTATATGATTAGTAATACTATTATGAAAATGATTGCATGCTGAAAAAATAAGGAATAAGGCGATTCTGAGGTTATTTCAGGGCTAGTGATTTCGTTATCTTTCTCCAGTCCTTTATCACCTCCAATTGCTTCATTTTGCTTAGATTCGCTAGATGTTTTTGAAATATGTTCTAATAAAAGAAAATTAGTTTCTTGAAGAAAGGAATCTTTCTCTATCACTGCCTTTTGTGCTGAAAGTAAATCATCTTTTACCCACATTAATTCATCCTTTTTTTTGGTTAGTGTATCTTCTAACTTCATATTTGCCAATTCTAAACTAATATTTTCATCCAATAGTTTTATATATTCCAGTTCAGATTTACACTTAAGAAAATCCATCTCTGATAATCTCTTTTGTACCAAAGAAACATTCTGCTTTAATTCCTCTATTCTTGATTGGAGAGCTTGTATCTCTTTTAATTTTGTAGCAATCTCGCTCTTAGTACTTGCAAGAGAAATCTCTTTTTAATTGATTTCATTTTTGAATTCTCTCGCCTCATCTTCAAGCTGACATACACGCTCTGAAAAACTCTCATTATTTTTTATCAGAAGATTATTTCTAGTGCCAAGCTGAATACCTAAGCTTAAAGCAATATCTAGATCATATTTTAAATATTGGTTTTCAAGCTCAGTTCAGCTAGATGGATATCGATTAAATGGCAAATCTCCAAATTTATTGCCAGATACCAAGAGTGCTCCATTATTTATTTCATTTATTGTATGTATATTTGCCATATGAATTTATTTGAAGGCAAAGTTTTTTATGGTTTTTTTTTTCCTGACGGCTATCAGCAAAATTATCATTCATATGTATATTTTTTCTTCGAATATGGAAAAAAGGAATTTAGAATCAAATTAATAAAAGACTAATAACAAACTAATTTAAAACAAATATGATATTTGAAGTATATATATCCTAAACCTATTTTTTATTTGAATCATGATTATAGCACGCTACACTGTAAAGAAAGTGAACTACATATATGTAACAAACCAATGCCAGACTAATGCCAGACCAATGTCAGACCAATATCAAATAAATTTTCTACAAGTTTTTTATTAGTATCATACAGATTTATTACTAGCAAACTATGAGCAAAAAACAAACAACTTATACAGGACCCTGAATAATACTAATATAACTCACAAATGATCGGCATGCATTTACTATTAACTCTACGCAACTTTTTTTTCATAGTAACATTACGCAAATCCAAATCTTAATTCAAAAAAATTTTTGTTACTAATATAATTCATTTCACATTTTTTCTATTAAAATATTAATAAAATTATGCAAACCTCACCATTTTATATTAACATAGTGTGTTTTGCACTTTTTTCTATTAAAATATTAATAAAATAGTGCGAAAATCACCATTTATTTGTTAAAATGGTGCGTTTCGCACTTTTTCTATTAAAATATTAATAATATCATGTGAAACTCACCATTTATTTGTTAAAATAGTGCGTTTTGCACTTTTTTATAATAAAATATTAATAAAATGGTGCGAAACTCTCCATTTATTTGTCAAAATAGTGCGTTTCGCACTTTTTTATATTAAAATATTAATAAAATGGTGCGAAACTCTCCATTTTTTTGTTAAAATGGTGCGTTTCGCACTTTTTTATATTAAAATATTAATAAAATGTGCGAAACTCCCGATTTTTTTGTTAAAATGGTGTGTTTCGCACTTTTCTATTAAATTATTAATAAAATGGTGCGTTTCGCACTTTTTCTATTAAAATATTAATAAAATGGTACGTTTCGCACTTTTTTATATTAAAATATTAATTAAATGGTGTGAAACTCACCAATTATTTATTAAAATTGTGCGTTTCGCACTTTTTTCTATTAAAATGTTAATAAAATGGTGCGAAATTCAACATTTTTTGTTAAAGTAGTGCATTTCGCACTTTTTTTTATTAAAAAATATTAAAATAATGTGAAATGCATTACTTTTTGTTACTATATACAATTAATTACCAAAATCCGTAATATTGCAAATTTCATAAATATATTACGGACCCATCCTTAATGGTTTTGCGCAACTTAATTTTTATCAATTGATCAACATATAATGCAATATATTTATAAACTCTACGCAAACGTGATATGTGAGTTATCCCAAAATTGACCAATCTACACAAACTCAATTTATGGGTTTAAAAAATAATTTCATATAAACTTTACGCAAACCCGTTTGTGAGTTATATCAGTATTATTCGGGGTCCTACCTATACTTGTAAATTTCTTAGATCAGATGCCTGATACTTATCATCTAAAGCTATTAAAGAAATTAAAAATGCTCAGAATAATATTCCAGATGCTCGGCGTATTATATGTAAAAAGCATCGTATAGGATCAACAACATATCAAAAAATATTTGATAATAAGAAGTCTCCTGAATCTACTAAGGAATGGTACAGAATCATAGAATTTGTTAGCATCTCTGACCAGATTTCAGAAAATAATTAGGAATCTTTACATGATATTTCCTTCTCTACTATTATACAAGAAGATGAGATCACTCATACAGAATATCCTATGGATACTAATGAGAATGATGCAAATTCTAATGGTCTGAATACAGTAACTAATGGGCGAAAAGATAAAGTTAGTCAGAAAAAAAAAAACTAGTATAAAGCCAAAAAACGAATCTTTTTCTGCAGATAAAGTAGCCAATTCTTTTAAAGATGATACATCTAGACGGGAATTTGATCTTAATAAATTAGTAAATATTACTAGAGAAGCTGTCATGCATCTGATTTATTCTCCATAAATTGTGAGCATTTTTCTGCAAAAATATTACTTACATTTAATGCTATATCAAACCATCTCTCAGTTTTTATTAGTCGCTCTTCAAGCTCTTTACACTTTTTTTTAAGTCCGCCTCACTAGTCAGGTTAGAGGAATCAGTAGATACTTAATCCTGATCCTCTTTTGGCAGATCCTTAACCACTGGGGCCTTGCTATATGTTGGAATAGTGTAAGACTTCTCATGTAACTTTATTCAGAATTAGTTTTATTCAGATCGAGAATACCTTGAACTTTTTGAATCCATGTCATACTTAAACATAACATTGGTTCAGGCTCACCGTTATCAATACGAGTAAAATTTCCAGTAACTGTAACCGATTTACTATCCAATGATTTAGTAATATGTTTGGAGTTACCTTTTATTGTAAAGTCTGATGGCTTGTTAGCTTTCCACCCAAGGGCATTAATTGTTACATCATTTACCCCCAAACTCACTCCCGCCATCTAAAAAAGAATTAGATATCATTAAATCATCTATATTAGCATTCAGATATTGTAATGACAAAAACTACTCATCTTTTTTTGACTTCTCTTCTTGAACATTTCAAGATAGACACATTTTACGCATTGCTGGTAAAAGTTTTGGCAACAGCTCATCATATATTTTGGGTTGGCTAGATTCTGAGAGTGAAATTGCATTAGTATCACTAGCCAACTTATACGAAACGTCTCTTGGCTCATTTACCTATTTTTTTTTACCAGTGGATCATATCCAGTCCATCTATTATTATTCACATCATAACTATCTTCCTCATTATCTGAAGCAGGAAGCGTGTATTGAAAATTTATAGGTGTAATAGGCTTAAAATAACTCCTATTAAAATTAGACTGAACTACCAGTTTATATATATTTAGTTTCTGAAATTGGTTGCTTAATTGATTTATAGAATTCTGGGTTTCACTTACAGCATCACGAGTTTCATTAAGCCCTTCCTCCATTCTATTAATTCTAGCAGAGTTATTATTTTGCTATTGACGAGGTCTTTGAAAAGGTTTTACAGGATAATCTGCGTCTAGTTCAGCCTTATTAAGTACACCTATTTCTTTAAAGTATTCTGATACATAATAATTCTTGAGACCTTCTTCGGTCTGTAATGAAGATGGTAGGCCTCTTGGCTATCTAACTAGTTCAACTGTTTGTGGAGCAAATACTTGCGCTGTTGAGTCATTTGAGATTGTAATTCTGTAACTTTTTTTATTAATGTCTGATTTTCAGTTTTTTGTTGCGCCAGTGCATTTTGGATTGCTTTTTGCATAATTTAAAGCTCTAAATGGTCCGGATTGGTCCGGGTTGGAGAGTAACCCAGGACTAGACCGAAAAATTAGTTCATTTCGGTCTGGTCCAGTTTATATTAAAAGGAGAATCCGGGACTAGACCGGATCGGACCAGTTATTTTGGTCTGGTCTGGTCCAGTCCTATAATAAAAAAATGTTGCGAAAATGTTTTTTTAGTTATAATTACTTAGAAAAAATGGTTCGCAATGTTTTTTCATTAAGTTAATTAGAAAACCGTTGTGAAAACGTTTTTTCGTTAAGTTAATTAGAAAAATGTTGCAAAAATGTTTTTTTAACTAAATATACTTAGAAAAAATGTTTCACAACATTTTTTCGTTAAATTAATTAGAAAAACATTACACAAACGTTTTTTCTAATTAAATATACTTAGAAAAAATGTTTCACAACGTTTTTTTGTTAAATTAATTAGAAAAACATTGCACAAACGTTTTTTCTAATTAAATATGATAAGAAAAAATGTTTCGCAACATTTTTTCTTTAAAATAATTAGAAAACCATTGCGCAAACATTTTTTCTAATTAAATATGATAAGAAAAAACATTGCGCAAACATTTTTTTTAATAAATATACTTAAAAAAAACGTTGCGCAATGTTTTTTCTTTAAATTAATTAGAAAAACATTGCGCAAATGTTTTTTCTAATTAAATATGATAAGAAAAATGTTTCGCAACATTTTTTCTTTAAACTAATTAGAAAAACATTGCGCAAATGTTTTTTCTAATTAAATATGATAAGAAAATACGTTTTGCAATGTTTTTTCTTTAAACTAATTAGAAAAATGTTGCGCAAATGTTTTTTCTAATTAAATATGATAAGAAAAAACGTTTTGCAACGTTTTTTCTTTAAACTAATTAGAAAAACGTTGCGCAAACGTTTTTTCTAATTAAATATGATAAGAAAAAACGTTTTGCAACGTTTTTTCTTTAAATTAATTAGAAAAACGTTGCGCAAACATTTTTTTAATAAATATACTTAGAAAAAACGTTGTGCAACATTTTTTCTTTAAATTAATTAAAAAAATATTGCGCAAACGTTTTTTTATAATAATATGTTAAAAAAATGTTACACAATGTTTTTTTATTTGATAATTAAATAATCGCAACGGTTTTAATATAAACCATTGCAAAAATATTTATCAGTCCGGTTTAGTCTCAACCCGTTTTTTCAGTCTGGATTAGATTTATAATCCGAAACTGGACCGGACTGGACCAAATATTTTGGTCTG